GTGTGTGTGTGTGTGTGTGTTTGGTGGTGGGGTGGCAGGGTCAGAAAAAATATTTCAGTCCAAAGATTTTATTTACTTAACCCAGTATTAGTTAAGTAAATAAAAATATGATTTTTTTTAAAAAGTACATAAATAATTGTGTAAATTGTGAGGTGAAACTGAATTTTTTTTAATGTTTTAATCTTAAAAGCCTTTATTTATTGTTAATTTTTTGTCTGGGGCTCTGCGTGCAGCACTACATTTCCTCAGCGTTGTTGAGTCTGTGAGAGTTTATTGCTCAGTTACTGTTAACCTTCACTTATTTAAAACATTAACAGAGTCCTTGTCTTTTTGACTGAAACTGTTCTGAGTTTAAATGTTGTGATTCTGAATTTAAAACTAGACTTTTGAAGTTGATACAGTTCTATAACGCTGCATTTGGACAGTATGACTGAAAACCTTGTGAATTTTTATTATTTATGTTTTGAATCTGCAGCGGGTGATGCCCACCAGTTTCTTCTTGTTGCTGCGTTTCTTCTTACGTGTGGACGGAGTGCTGATCAGAATAAATGACACTCGACTCTATTATGAGGCAAGTTGATGTTTGTCATGATTACTGAACTATATCTGTAATACAGAGAAAGAAGAGTGTCTATTATACTAATTTATATCCCGCTGCATCTTCAACCACCAACCTGCTGTCTCACATCGTGTTGAAGCACACGGAATAGTTTAAACTCGTGCTCTTATTTTGAAGTGAAGTGAAGTTTCCTGTTATCCGTCCTGTACCCTGAATGCATTGCTTCATTTCTACAATAAACAGCTAAAAATTACTAATACAGTATATTGCATGTTTTCTTACCAAAGCCCTAACATAAAATAAGAAAATGACCAAGAAGCAGCAAAACTAGCAATCCACAACATTTTTTTCTTTTAAACCATGAGTCAAACAAAGTCTGTTTCAACAAATCACCTCCCCAAACTGCGACGATAAGTGCCAATCTGTCAATTAGCCTTGCCATTGGTTGGCATTATTGTGCAAGAATTCCTCGTACTATCASTGGAGAATTGTGAAGCAAATTTGTGCTTTTTACTTAGCTTACGTTAAGTTTTCTGGGCATATGTGCTTTTTAACTTGTGGACCTAAATTATTTCACCAGCGTTTTAGAATTTGCGCAGCAAAATTTTGAATTAGCGCTGCCCATAACTAATGATGCTGTTGTCCCTTTAGAGATTTCACAGTCTTTGTTTTATGTAAGACATTGAAGTGGGTCCATGTGTGAATAAAGACCATGGAGACCACTTCGTCAGGGTACCTGTGTAACCTGTGTTAAAAAGCCTTTTGTGAAAGATCAGAGGTCTGGATGTTGTGTACATCAACACAGATGTAAGAATTTTTAGCTAATAAAAAACTGTACTTCTGATTTTAGAACGGAAGCGACCATATGCTGCGAGAGTTCACCACAAGAGAGAGCAGGATGTCAGAGCTGAAGGTTGGTATTAAACACATCATGTGCCATCTGTGAGGAACCGTGACCAGATACAGTATCATCTCTAAATCATGACTTGTTGCTCTCTGGTAGCTAATGAAAAAGACTTGAAAACTGGATCAAAATGTCCCCATCAGATTACATGAATTAGCTCAGTACAAAACTAGGGATGCACGATATATCAGCATTAACATCGGTATTTACCAATGTTGGTCATTTTTTAGAATATCAGTATCAGGCCGATATTAACYTCCGATATTGATTTCCCACTTTTTAGCTTTGTGAACCTAACTATATCAAAGGGAAAGTCAGCCCAGCTCCAATAGGAGGGGAACTGGTTGGTTTCCAACAGGATCACAACTTCTTCTGTTAACTGTCTGTTTGGCTTTCACAAACCAATTCCACATATTTTTCCATTTCTTACAACAAACTACTCATTGCAGCAGAAATCTCCTTCCCATGGGTTCAGTTCCATTTGATTGTCTTTGGGATCTTTTCATGGTGGGATCAATCAAAATTGTGAGGCACCTCGCCATGTTTAAAGGGATCCATGATTAGTTGTAACATTAGACTTTATTTAATAAACATATTTTTAACTGTAAAATAAAGATGTAAAAATATTGTAGGATGTTCAGTTTTTATCATTTTTAAACTAAAAGTTTTAAAAATATATTACGCGGATGGGGCCATTTTATTTACACGCAAAGCATTCTGGGTAAATGATGGCATGGATAGGTCCTCGGTGCGAGGCTGCTATCGAGCTATATCCACCCTGAAGGTTAATCTTGGACAATATCTGATGATCGACTCTTTTAAATGAAACCAGAGAGCGTTGACAGAGAGGAGAAGGTAAAAATGACTCAGCCTGTAACTGAAAATATAGATGGACAACAGAGCTGCTTCCTGGAAGAAGAACCTCAGCTTAACCTGTTAGCTTTAGCATTAGTCCCGACGCTATCACCATATATATGTATTAGCTCAGCGCTACACATTCTCCTCTCATCACTGAGGTCCTCCATCCACATGACAGAGAGGGGAACACAAAAATGACTCAGTCTGTAACTGAAAATATGGATGGAGGACCTCAGTTTAGCTTTCTTGTCGCGCTAGTGCTGAGCTAATACATATAAGGCAATATAGCGTCAGRGCTAGCGCAAAGGCTAAGAGGCTAAGCTGAGGTTCTTCTTCCATGAAGCAGCTCTGTTGTCCTCCATCCATATTTTCAGTTACAGGCTGAGTCGTTTCTACCTTCTCCTCTCTGTCAACGCTCTCTGGTTTCATTTAAAAGAGTCGATCATCAGATATTGTCCAAGATTAAACTTCAGGGTGGATATAGCTCGCTAACACCGAGGACCTATCCACGTCATCATTTACCCAGAATGCTTTGCGTGTAATAAAATGGCTCCGTCCGTGTTAAAATATATTTTTAAAAATTTACAAAACCATACAGCCTACAGTATTTTTACAGTCTTTATTTTACAGTTAAAATATATGTTTATCAAATAAAGTCTAATGTTACAGCTAATCAGGAATCCCTTTAAAGCATCAACTTTAAACCTAGCTCAGAGCACCACATCACTAGTGCTTCTGGATCCAAAGGACCAGATGGGAGCTTCTGTAAACCYGGTCCTGCTTGTTTCAGTTCCCAACAATAAGTCAAATGGGGACCTTATATATTTAGGGTTTTGTTTATGTCTGTTGGTGGGAAAGACAGCCAGAGTGCACACTCTCAGAACAGTAACACAAATGTTTTAAACACAAACTAGTACAAACTCTGTCATGTAGAAGTGATGGGATGTAGACTTTGTCTCTCCTAACATGTCTTTTTAAGACACTCCCCCAAACACAGATACCATAATGGACCTTATAGATTTGGTTTTTAAAAGGCAGATAATAAATGTCACCACAGCTAACGATATATCAGCTGATTCAGTATCATGGATATGGAGATCAGATTTGATGTAAATACATACTTCCAGTGCTCGCTGACTGTGCAAGATTTGTTTTTAAAACTTAAATAAACAAAACTAAATATCTAATGAGCCAATGCACAGACCTGAATGAATATTACAGAAATATATTCTTGGGTGTACATTTACATCAGAACCTTAACTGACGTGAAAATAGTTAATTTGTCCAGTTTTGCAAAGACTGAGCTGAAGTGTGATGTGGAAGTAGCTGAGCATCTTAACACACACTCTGAGCAATAACCAGAGATCTCACCACATCAAACAATCGTCCATAAATAGGGTTTGACCTAAATGAGTCGTTTTGCATCATAAGATGAGCTCAGTCAATCTCTGGCATGACAGGTGGTGAATGCTTTCCTTTACATTTTGTGTTCCTGTTCTTCCTTTTTGATTTGTTTTAATCCTAGCTGTCTGTGTTGTGCAGAACCTTCCTGTAGCGCTCTACACTGACCCGAATGAGATCGCTCAGTATCTGACCTTGAAGCTGACCGAGTGTGAGAAGCTGGAGCTTCCTGTGAGCCAGCCTCAGACTGACCTCCCAGAAACAATCCACTGACCTGAACCTCCACACGTTACAGGATCAAACAGTATCTGCCTTCATATTTCTGTACAGTTTTTACATGTTGACTGCAGCTGTGTGACTTGAACATCTCCTGCCTGAGTTTTCCCAAATGAAAACTTTAAAAAAAATTCTGTCTTTATTGTTATAACTTTTTTTTTTTTTACTTTAGACTTTGAATCAAGGAGTGATTTTTTTTTATTTACAAACACACAACCTAAACTAATGTATAATATTTATGTATGATCTGCTGTATTTTATATAAAATGAAGAATGTTTTCATTTTGAAACCATCTGCTAAATAAGTATGAACCTTAGAACAGAATAAATTTGGTGTAAATAGTGAGCTCTGTATGTTTGTTTATTTCCTGTGAGAAACGTTGCTCAAATCAGCTGGAAGAGATGACAGAACAGTTGTTTCACTGTTAAACAGAACCACCAGAATGTTTCACATCATGTAACCTGTTCTACTCCAATGTGTAAATATATCTGATAGTGAACAATATGTGAAGTGGGACACTCAGTGTTGATCATACACTTAATATTCTCCCATTAATTACTAATTATCACCAGCTATCAAAGGCTTTTGGAATCAACTACAGTCAACACAAAATGGCTCCAACTCAGTCAATGTTACTCATGTTGAGATCAAATTTTATGTGGTGACAGCTGAAGGTCATACATAACACATATTTAGTGTTATATCTGTTGATATCACGAGATTACGCTTAAGATCGATTTTGATTTGATTTATTGATATAACAGGAAAAGATTATTAAAAATCAAGCCTGACTCAGCATAATTGCTGTTTTACAGCAGGTTCCTGTTCTGCAGCACATAAAACACTCAGAAATACAACAGCACAATCACATCATCATACACATTAGACACAAAGACAAACAAGCATACCAAATTTCAGGAAGGCAGCATTTGCAAAATAGGACGT